TCATACACTCTTACCTTCAGATTTTCCAAAACATCCTTTTGCTATTGCTAATAAGCATCACTATTTCCTTGCTTTCTTCATATACTTTTACAGGTTTCAGCGCAGCGAGAGTGACAATGGCGAGGTGAAGCTGTCTCTAAACGGGCCTAACAAACTTATATGGGCGTATTCTACTGGGAGCAAGGCTCTGGGCTACCATGGCGGCAACTTGTGAGTTACTTTGTTCCTCATGTCGCGCCAAAGCATCCCCTTACCGAAAAGCTCACCCTCCCATCTTGAACCCGTTATTGGCTTTTGAGGCGCCTCAAACGGCATCTTACCAAAAAGCTCACCCACATTTGGTTCTCATCTCTCATCGTTCTTTCTCCTCCGTTGCTTTGCTTTTCTTCCATTTTGGTTCCCTCTCCCCCTTCCCCCTCCCTCCCTTGTCCGTCTTCCCATCTCGTCCCCTTTGTTTCTCACCCTTCCCTTCCACTCCGCTCCTTCTCTCCCTTCCCCGCCCTTCCTCCCCTCCCGCCCTCCCCACTTCAACGGTCGAGTCACTGTGGACTTCTCGTGTCATCAATCTCCTGAGCCTCTTATAACCCCCCCCCCCCCACCGTTCCTGCTCCTCCCCTCCCTCCCCTCTCCCCCTCCCCTCCCTCCGTCCCTCACTCCAGCGGTCGGGTCACTGTGGACTTCACCTGTCAATCCGCCCCTGCTGGGGGCTCTGTTGGGGGCGGGGGAGAGAGTGAGGGAGGCGAGGGTGGGGACAGTGAGGGAGGAGAGGGGGGAAATAGCAGCAGTCAGAGCAAGGAGAGTACCAGCAGCAGCAGCGGCAGCAGCAGCCAAGGCGGCGATAGCAGCAGCAGCAGCCAAGGCGGCGATAGCAGCAGCAGCAGCCAAGGCGGCGATAGCAGCAGCAGCAGCCAAGGCGGCGATAGCAGCAGCAGCAGCCAAGGCGGCGGTAGCAGCAGCAGCATCCAAGGCGGCGATAGCAGCAGCAGCAGCCAAGGCGGCGATAGCAGCAGCAGCAGCCAAGGCGGCGATAGCAGCAGCAGCAGCCAAGGCGGCGATAGCAGCAGCAGCATCCAAGGCGGCGATAGCAGCAGCAGCAGCCAAGGCGGCGATAGCAGCAGCAGCATCCAAGGCGGCGATAGCAGCAGCAGCATCCAAGGCGGCGATAGCAGCAGCAGCATCCAAGGCGGCGATAGCAGCAGCAGCAGCATCCAAGGCGGCGATAGCAGCAGCAGCAGCAGCCAAGGCGGCGATAGCAGCAGCAGCAGCAGCCAAGGCGGCGATAGCAGCAGCAGCAGCAGCCAAGGCGGCGATAGCAGCAGCAGCAGCAGCCAAGGCAGCGATAGCAGCAGCAGCAGCAGCAGCATCAAGGAGAGCAGTAGCAGCAGCAGCGGGGGTGGGGGTGAGGGTGAGCCTGAAGGCGGCGATACCGAGGGTGAAGCCAGAAGCAGCGGCAGCAGAACTGACTGGTGGGCTGTGCTGGCCTCAGATTTCCCCAAGTCAGGTTCCTCCTCCTCCTCTTCTTCCTCTTCCTCGTCCTCCTCCCCTTCTTCCTCCTCTTCCCCTAAAACCGCCACCACCAAAGCAACCTCCTCTTCCTCCTCCTCACCTTCCTCGGGTTCTGCCTGCTCCGCATCCAGTCTGGCTGGTTACACCTACTCCACCCAGCTCGGAAGCTCAGAGTAAGCCCAGCCTCATGCTCCCCTCTGGTCCAAGTCTCCCATCACTCTGGTTCTGCCTATCCCACATCCAGCCTGGCCGGTTTTACCCGCCATTACCTTCTGTCCTCCCTCTAACTCTCCTATCTCTCGCTCTTCCCTCCACTTTTTGTGTCTCCCGTTTGTTTTTTTCGTTCTTTTTCGCCAGTTTTCTCCTGCACTGGGCGGCGCCGTCCAACGGGCAGCTTGATTTGGCGATGGAGGCCAAATCGGGCAGCGGCGCGGCCAAGGGATGGATGTCCGTCGCATGGTCGGCGAACGGAGGCATGGCGGAAAGCACAGCGGTGATCGGTAACATGAACGGCGGAAGCGTTGCTGGTTACCACATCACCGGTTACTCGATGGGGACGGTGAAGGCGAATGGAATGGATGTTGGTGGGGATGCGGGGACGAGCAACGAAGGCGGGTCGACAGTTGTGAAATTTCTTAGAAGGGAGAGTGATGGAGGGGAGGTGAAGATCAAGACGAGTGGGGCAAACAAGCTGGTCTGGGCATATTCCACTGGGAGCAAGGCGCTGGGCTACCATGGCGGCAACTTGTAAGGCCCCTCCCTCTTCTCCCCCCCACCCAGTTCCTCTCTCTCCCCCTCTTTCACTTCCTCTCTCTCCCCCTCTTTCACTTCCTCTCTCTCCCCCTCTTTCACTTCCTCTCTCTCCCTCTCTCGCCCTGTCCCGACCACTTTTCGCCCCCTCTCTCGATCACTGTTCCTATGCTTAGCAACTCCTCGAGTCTCTTCTAATCACCCCCCCCCCCCCCCACCCCCCCCTTTTTCCTCCCCCCTTCCCTTTTCCTGCTCTTGCCTTCACCTGCACCCACCTTCCTGCCCAACTGCAGTGGAAGCCTCACTGTTGATTTCTCTTGTAAGTCTGCCCCTGCAGGGGGCTCTGGTGGGGGGGGAGGAGGAGGGGACGGAGGGGAGAGCAGCGGGAATGGAGGGAGCAGTGGGGATGGCAAGGGCAGTGCGGGTGGAGAGGGGGGAGGAGGAGGGGGGGGAGGGAAGCGAAGCGGGAAATCCAAGGGGAAGGGGCATGGGTCGGATGGGGGTAGGCATCATGGAAAGGGGAAGGACCATAAGGGGGAAAAGCATAAGAAAAAGGAGAAGCATCATGGTGGGGAGCATGAGGAGGGTGATGACTAAGCTGCTTTGCATGAATTGTGTTATTGCTATGGATAGGATGTGTTAATCGTACGTAGTGCACAAATGTATTGTATGTGGAAATGCAGAACGCCAATGATAGATTGTTTCGATTTTTGGTCGGTAGTTTGGCACGGCACATGAAATTGCATTTGAAGCACGTGGAGGGGGTGTTATCAACTCATGCAAAGCATTGTAGACATGGAGTTTTGGTGAAGCATATATAATTAATGCGTAAAGAATGTGAATGTGGGGGAACGTGTGACATGAGCATGTGTGAGTCAACGGGTCCACCTTCCGCATGTTGCTGAAGCGGCGTGTGGATATTGTGTGGGCGGAGCGTCCAATTTGGACGCATGCCATTGGACCGCGCGAGGATTCCATGTTCCATTCGTGGGCTTACCTGTTGGAGTGGATGGATGGTTTGGTTGATCGATGGACTCCGAAGTTTCGTCCAGCCTGCGTCGAGAATACCGAGATGGAAGTCTGCGTCTATGCCGGCTCGGTTGGAGTTGCGCTCTTCGTGACCGACCGGTGTTACACCTTCTTCAGTGTTATTTTTCTTTATACATTTTTTATTTTGGGTATGGTGCACGCAACCTTTCTGCCTAGGACTCGCAACCTCATAAGCAACGATAACCCCTTCCTTGGGATTCAGATTCAGCATGACAGTGTCGCAGTGCAGCTCCGAAACTTCCTTCCTTAGCTAAGTTTCAGCAGTCCCCAGTCTTACGCCACATGGGGTCTGGTGTGCCGCGAAACTCGTCATTTCCGCTGCCCGCCGCTTTTGAAGGGCCACCATCTCTGGCCTGCGAGAGGTTCGGTTTGGAGGACCTGATAATCAAGGCGCGAATCAGCCCTCTGTACGACACCACCTGACGCGTCGCTGAGTCCCTGCCTCTCATCGAGGGCCATCCGCTCTGCACCGCCAGCTTATGTTGGGACTTGGTTTGCGGCAGACAAACTCCCACGTCGTCAGTCGTTTAGCCGAACTGTCTATGTCGTCATCTCTGACGGACGGACGGATGCTCCACAACACCCTTTCTGAGAGATTTACGATGCTGTGCGACAGTCCATTTTGCTGCACAGTTGATGTCTCCTCCCTCCCCGCCACAAGAAACCGCAATTCCGGCGGAGCACGCGTCGCTGCGCGTCGCATCCACGCGCCCGATAACCTCAGCCGTTTATTGACCGTGCCAGCGTGCTGCCAACAATCCAAACCTTCTGCGACCTGGCATCGCCACAGATCTCATCACCGCTGGGCTGCGCAACGAAGAGGCAATCCAGCTTCCGCCGACACTGTGCCTCCGCCAGATATTTGCCCGTGTAGTTTCCGCGTGAAACTTCCGCTGGAAGCTGCCCCGTGGACCACGCGTGCAGTACCGCACTGCACCACCGCATTCAGTTCACCTGAGCGACACCCGGTTTTACCGCTACAGTACACCATTCCCTCCCCCCCCCCAACACTGCGCATCACCTGGGTGACGCGCTTCGCCTTGAGCGAAGCCTGCCCACCGCCAATGTCCAGACCAGAACCCTCTTGGGTTCTGAGGGAGTATATCTAAAAGAGGTCCTTGCGGAAAAATGACTTCCGATAGTTTTGGAAACCAATCACATTCGTTTTAATGTCAATCAGAAATACGTGATTGGTGTTCATAAGACATTGTTCCGCGATACCGCCTGCTAGGGATACGCCCCGATTTGAGTGTCCCGCGCACCCCCCCCCTCCTCGCCTGACGTTTCCGCTCGCCTCTTGTTGACATGACCACCAACGATTCCCCCAATCTCCCCCCCTCCCCCCCACTCAACCCCCCCCCCCCCCGTAATAAACGCGCATGGCCCCGCTCTCCCTTGCCAACAACCATCCCGCCACTTCCCCTCCGCGCATCGATTCCCCCATCCATCGCCCGCTTCCTGACCACAGTTTTCGCGCGAAGCCAAGCCCAACGCTTCTCCCGTCATCTGAATTCCTCAACCCGTCTCCCTCCTTTTCACCCCTCCCTCCTGCGAACCGCCCTCACTCTCCCTCTCGATTCCCTACCCACTCCCCCTTCATTGCCCTCGACTGGCCCTCCCCTCCCCCCTCCTGATCCTGTTTCCCACTGGCAGTAGATAAAGCGGGCCCGCGCCAGTTTTCTAACAGCCATTTCATCCAGGCAAGCAGGCAAGCAAGCGGCACGAGAGCTCAGCTCATACGAGAAGCGCAGCAGCAACTCCCGTTCCGTACCTCTGCCGTGCTTTCTCCTTCCACCCACCACCACCGCTCGAAACCACGCGATTCCTCCCGAATCCCTCGGCCTCTTCCCGACCTCGCCACTGCCATTACGAGAAGGCCATTTTTCTCAACTCGCCACCCACTATCACAATACTTTACCCTCAGTTCGTAATACGTCTTTAAATCGCCTCTACTGCATCGCTGCCGCCATACTTTACCCCAGTAAAATGGCGGGTTTCAGATATTGCGGGCGGTTCAAGTCGCTCGTGCCACTTGTCGCGCTCTGGTTGGTCCTATGCGCGCTGCCGTCGGCGCTCAGCGAGGACGACGAGGGCGGGAATGCCGTAACCGGCGCGTGCGAAGTGTCGTCGCTCCTTGGTTACAAATACGCCGTCGACCTCAGCGGCAACGGGTAAGCTCCATCTGAGGCGCCTAGAAACTGTTGAGAATGGCGCTTTGCAAGTTCTTAGTACTGTCGCCCATCCCCTACCTTTCCCACTCCTCCCCCTCTTCCGCGACTTCCCCCCCGAACCAGAAGTCTCGACCTCCATCCCCACCCCACCTCCCCCCCCCCACTCCCCCCTCCCCCTCTCCCTCTTCCCCTCCCCTCTCCCGCCCCTCCTGCTTCCACGCGCACAGAAGCAGTCTCTACCTGCACTAGACTCCTAACGGCTCGCCCAAAATGGGTTTCGCGATCGCGGCCATCGTTTGCGACGCCTCACCACTTTCTCCCCCTCCCTCCTCCCCCACCCCCCTTCCCCTCCCCCCTTCCCCTCTCCCCCTACCAATTCCTCCCTTCCCAACAGTCTCTACCTGCACTGGGTTCCTAACGGCTCGACCAAAATGGACTTCGCGATCGAGGCGCGGCCGGGCAGCGGCGCGGAAACCACGTGGGTGTCCGTGGGGTGGTCGGCGGGGCGCATGGTTCCCGCCGACGCGGTCATGGGGAACCTCCCCGGAAACAAGGTCGCCGCGTACTCGATACAAGGCTACGATGCGCAGTCGATCAAGGCGGCAACGGCGTTTTCCGTGGCGGGGACGGCTGTGAAGTATAGCAATGGCGGGAGTACGATCTCGAAGTTTACCCGGACGATCGGCGACGGGGATTTTCCCGTTGCGCCCGACGCGAACACGCTTATCTGGGCGTTTTCCGGCAGCGGCTCGCAGAGCCTGGACAATCACAACGGGAACGTGTAAGTAGCAGCGTACGCGTTGTACGCAGTGTTACGCAGTGGCATATGCTCCTCCGGGTGTCCCTGCGGTTGCGTTTTATCAACGAGCGCGCATGGTGGTTTTTATTTTATTTTCTGTTTATTTTATAACTTGACTGCCCCTCTTCCTGTTTCTCCCCCCCCCCGCCCCCCCCGCCCACTTTTCCCCCTTCCTCAGCGGCATTGTCAACATTGACTTCACGTGCGCGAGTGGCGCAGCGCCCGCGACTGCTGCACCCAGCGGCAGCGGTCCCAGCAGCGGCGGCGCAAGCGGCAGCGCTTCGTGTCCCGCGTCTTCCCTCGCGGGCTTCGACTACCAGGCGGAACTCACCACCGGGTATGTCCCCCGCCGTCCTTTGGGTTGTAACCGATGAGGTTGCAGCGGGGATCTAGCCAGATGACCCTCGCGCGATTCAACAACTAGGCGGAGCGAATCTCACCACAACTTCTTCTCCCTCTCCCTGCGCTCTGTTAGTTTCCTTTGTTTTCTGTTAAGAGTTCCGTTACAACTACCTTGCTCACCTACCTTCCGACGCGCTCGTCGCGAACCGACGGTCTCAAATCAAATAACGTCCCCTTGTTCCTTCCCCCGCCATCCCCGCCATCCCCCAATCCACCGCTCTTCCCACTTTTCCCCCGCTCCCCAACCCCCCCCTCCCACCCCACTCTCCCCCCACTTTCCCCCCCCCCCTCCCACCCCCGTTCCCCCTTCCCTTCCAGTCATCTCCTTCACTGGAAGCAGGCCTCAGCCACTTCCCTCGAAGCCAACAAACCCCTTCATCTCTTTTTCCCCCTCCACCCGTTCTCCCACCCGCCAACAGGCTGCTTCTTCACTGGAAGCAAGCCTCACCCACTTCCCTCGATATGGCGCTCGAAGCCACCGCATCCAGCGGCGCCGCAGGCTCGTGGTTCTCCGTCGCGTGGTCGGGCGACGGCCGCATGTCCCCGTCTGACGCGGTCATCGGGAATATGCCGGGCGGCGCGGCTGGCGCGTACGCGATAACGGGCTACGACATCGGTGCCGTCGCGCCTACCAGCTCGTTTTCCGTAGGCGCTGCGACGACGGAGGCCGCGGCAAATGGCGGGAGTACGGTGGTGAAATTTACGAGGACGGAGGGCGAAGGGACGATCCCGATGTCGCTGTCGGCGCCGAATGCGCTGATCTGGGCGTATTCAGGGAGCGGGTCGCAGAAGTTGGATTACCATGGAAAGCACGTGTAAGTTGGGATTGCGGCACTGTACGCATTTTTTTAAGGTTTCGGAGTGCGGTGTATTATAGTGTACAGCACTGTAGGCTTGTGCAAATAAATGCGAAGGGGGAGCGGAAGTTGGATTCCCCCGATGTCGCAGTTGGCGCCGAGTGCGCTGGGCGTATTTGCAGAGCGGGTCGTGGAAATCGGGTTACCACGGGAGGATTTTGTGAATGGGTTTGGTTGGTTGTACGCGTTGTAAGGTATTTGACTGAGGTGTACGCATATGCTCTTTTCACGTTCAGGCGTCATTATATGTCGCTCCTCGTGCCCCTCACACTCATTCCTTCCTCCTCCCTGACCGCAATTTTTTTCTCACCAATTCTTTCCCCCCTTTTTCCCTTCGTTTTCCCTTCCCCCCCTATAACAGTGGCTCAAAAACAGTGAGCTTCAACTGTGGTGGCAGCAGTACCAGCACCACTCCCGCCACTCCCGCCACTCCCGCCACTCCCGCCACTCCCTCCCCAGTCCCTGTGCCTGCTCCTCCTGCCGTCACCCCCGCACCGCCCTCCACCTCTTCCTCTCCTGGCGCTGGCTCCAGTGGCAGCAACGGCAGTAACAGCGGTTGCACGGCTTCGACTCTGGCTGGTTACTCCTGCTCTGAGAAGCTTAGTGGCAACGAGTAAGCAGTGTCTCCCCTCAACCCACTCCCCCTTCCCCAAACCCTCTCGTTTTACTCACTCCCCCGCTCACCTGGCTCACTCAATCACTCACTCATTCTCCCACTCTCCACTCAA